GGGTCTTCCTGACTTCAGATAAGTAAACGGGACTTTCATGGGCGGGGGGGGGGGGGGGGGGCGGGTAAAACGCCGATTACTCTCCGAGATCCTGCGAAATTGGATCAAAGTCCTGCTAAATTGCTAAATATATTGTAAACTGTGGACCCTTGGCTGATGGAGAGGGAGGCATGGCCATAGGCGGAGGAACGTTTCAAAAAGTGGGGGGATGGGCAAGCTCAAGGCGTGCTTCACGAACTTTTCTGGAAAGCAAGTCCGGTGACCGAGGGGGGTTAGAGATGGAGGTTGTTGCCGTTTTTTATTCAAATGCCATGGCTGTTTTGCTAGATTTGCACCTGGAGCTGTTTCTCACTGGTGCATAATCTTGCTTGCTTAACTCGTCTACGTCGTTCGGTAAATGAGGCCGTCCAGCTTCCCAGAACTATTCGTCCATTTCAACACTGGCTTTTCTGGGGAGGCGAAATTCCACCCGCGGGTAGGCATTTGGGTCATTGAGGAGGCATCTGCCTCCACAGGGTAAATACCAAAATACAGCTTGGACATAGGTTGGTGAAAATTTTAAAAGCGAATCGATGGCTCACAGTGCGACAAATATTTTATGCGCCTTCATTTCGCTGGATGATTTTCAAAAGATGAGACTGATCGCAGCGTTTAGACGGAAACAAAGTCGGAGCTTGAAACTGCCAAAAGCAGTGTGGCAGAAGTGAAGCAACTGGAAATTCTCATTTAAAAACCAAGCCACAGAATGAAGACACTTCTGTCATATATTCTTTACTTGGGCCCTGCTACCGTCCGCCGTCGGCGGCAACTGCCCTGGGCCGGCTGTCTCCCGCATAACTGACCGCGAACTGATCGTATGGGTGCTTTGCTGCATATTTCTGGATCAACATTATTACTAATTGGTCTTTTAGACACATGTAAAACACCTGCAACAGTATCTCTTTCCGAATTATTTCCCCTTACACCCCACCATTGCAGAAAACCCTACGGGAAGCTGCCTGCCGTAGGTATGAATTGGCCCAACGGACATTTTATTGCCCATCATTCAACGTAAATGACTTGACCTTCTTTTGCATGAAGGCAGTGGCGTGGCCAGAGCCTTGCCAAGGATGAACACGGTGCTGAAAAAAGCCCTTCCTATGGTGATCTCCCCCCTCTAAAAGATTCACGGATGTAGCTTACTTGTTAACAAGGGATACGGTTTTCTTCCCATTATTGCCATTTTTACTTTGCAACCAGGAAAGAAAACAGAAACTACTGTGAGATCAATTCTGTTTGTATTTTAAGTCAATAAACTGCAAAAATCAGGTGTTGAACAACCGCATGAAATACATCACCGGCGCCTTGAATTTACAATTGCTTTTTGAACTCCTAAAACGATAGAAGTTAGAAACTTAAAATTTGTATCTGGGTTCTACAAACACTAAGGCCATTGCGAAGGTACGTGATAGATCGTTAGTTTAATCGAAATTTAAAGATGAAAATTTGATTGTAGGTCGAATGGTCAACAATGTCTATTAACATGACCAAGCCATGTGTAGCTGCAAATGTTCAACATCCAGTCAGAATCGATTAGTGATAGGATTTATGTAACGTGGTTTTTTGCTCGCAAATCGTAACAATAAAAGCCTCTACTCCAGGCGTCGCAATCTCCATAGTCCATGGAGCTTTAGTCAAGTGGCTAACTTTTCAGCCGCTGCCCATCGGTGGACGAAAATGATGACACTTCTGAACTTATTACCCTCAAGACACTTGCATCTATTAGGGATACAAGTTGTGACATAATTTTGAGCATGCGCGCGCGCAAATCTCAACAAGAAAAACCTTGACGCCAGCCGTTGCAGTCTCCCGAGGCCGCACGGCGTCGGCACAACAGCCAATACTAAGCCGTGGCCAACGGGTGTCCGAAAATGATGACGCTTCTGAAAGTAGCACCTTTGAACGCTTCAGGACATCAAATCTTACATTTACAATACAGTCTGGGCGCGTATTTCATGAGCGCGATTTTCAGACATGATAACAACGGACTGGCCCTTAAAGCACCACAAAGTGATGCTGGAATCTGGTGGGGGAATTGGAAAAGTAAAACTTAGAATCTCTATTTTCGTGTTTCTGTAAATATTTATCTGTCCAGGGGGCAGATTACCGCGGTGCCCGCTGTCTGGTGACACTTGCAGTGCCCGATATCGTTCGGTTTTATGGAAGCTGCAACCCAGGCCATCGCTGTCCTTGCACTCGAAGTTGGGGCGGGCATGTCCAACCATGCCGATGTAATTTGTTTTACTAATCCATTCTGAAAATGAACGTTCTCATGCGTGCAAACGTGCGATGGCCTGTTCGTTTTTTAAGCTCATTTAAACCCACTATTCAGCATTAATGAGGCCTACCACTCTACTCGCCAATATTGAGACCCCTTATCACCTTACAGGCAGGAGCCCCTTGACTGCAACACCCGGGACACGTTACGTTTCAGGTCAAGGGCTGAAGGACCATTCCGTCCCATCGCAAAGTTTCTTTTGGCTGTCATTCTGGCGACACGACGCGGTATTTCCTGATCGATCTGGAGGCCATTGGAAGGACATACCGTAACAAATTCTTCCCTTCCCTGATACGGGAGGCCTTCTGACCCGCGCAGTTGGCCCTGGATCAGTACAGAAACCCTCACTGACGCAACAACATCCGTGATCGCCGAAGGTGGTCCAATAATTGTCACATAGGCTCTAGTTCCATGTTTTGTTGTGTTCTTCGGGGATATTGAAGACTCCCTGAGCGTAGATTGTAGATGAAAGGGGGTCCCAAATTTGTATTAGCCTAGCTAGTTCATGTTTGTCTTAAAATGTTTAAGATTCAGTTAGAACTGATTACTGATAAAGACTATATAACATGGTTTGAACATGCGCGCTCGCAAGACAGCAACAAGTCTCGATATCCGGTGTTGCAGTCTCCATAGCCCGCGCAGCGTCAGCCCTGCGGCTGTAACACTAAGTGGTGACTAATGAGCAACCGATGATGACGACAAGACGGCGCATCTTGAGGAAGATGGCTGGATGAACTAGGTAAATCGGCACATCTGTTAGATGTAGTACAAAAGTAAGCCAAACACAGCCTTAATCTGAAAAGTGTGTGGGAGGGGGGGGGGGAGGGGGCAGTAACACTGCTGGCTCCCACCTTGAAAAGTGTGGGGGGGGGGGCATGGCCACTCTGCCCCCCCCCCCCCCCCCCCACCCTGTTCCTACGCCCATGCGCGTAGCCACCTTAGCCCCTTCCCCTCCTTGCCTACGTTCCTGATGGACTAACAGGTATGAGCATGATCGCTGGATAGCCCATAGTGAAGGACGCATCAGTGCGTTGTACACTTCCGATTATCCGAGCTCACGCACGGCACAACCGATGCGACGCCCACGTGAACGGATGATCTGCATGAGGGAACGAAACCTGCTTTGGGATCAACACCGTTAAAAATAGGATTGCGACCCCGCTAGGGTCGGGGAGGGGCCATACGTTCCTGGACAACCTTGCGACGGCCGCTGCCCGTAACTAGCGCCATCACGCTCCACACCTGAGCGACAACCAGGTACGCCCAACATTACTTCCATACAAGCCAAGTGACCGTGCATTGGCAATGTCACATTGCCGGGCCTCAGACCAATGACGTACGAGCTGTTTGAGCCCACAACTCTAACGCGAGCCGTCATTGTGCGGTCCTCATGCCGACGCAGGGCGCCTTTGACGCCGCGGGTGCCGGCCCGTCCCTATGACGGCAGCCAGTGGCCGCGTCCAGACGGAGCCCAGCCAGTCTGCCCACTCTCGGGCCGGCGGCGACGACCGAACCACGGCCAGGTCAGCGTGCTGTCCACGTACCCGCTCGCGGAGCCGGCCGGCGCCTGGGCAGACTCTGCTCGCCAGGGGTCCGTCTCATTCCTCCACCGGCGTGGTAACGACCTGCCACCTGACCCCCACCAGCGAGGCCGCATGGTGCTGATGCGGGATGAAGCTGGTCGAGAGTAAGCCATTTGATAACGGGTGCTCAAGCCACGTGTAGACTACCTTTTAATGTGCGGAATCAAAGCTGTTTGGGTGAAACATTAACGGACCATAATTAAAATCAGGTATCGGTGTTTACGTCATCACTGTCAGCGTTTTTATTTTTTTGGTATCATATCCTCCGTACCCAGCTCTCGGCCGGGCAGAGATAGAGCCGCGCACAACACAGCGAATACGTAAGAGTGTATTCAACACACGTGAAAGAAGCATCCTGACGTCCGAGCGCCAGACAGTGACGGCCAGAGAGCCAGCGCGCCGTTGGGCCTCACGACCACCACCGGCTCCACTTGCTCGATGCGGCGGAGGAATGGCTCAGGATGGGTGCGCGTCAGCCGGATATTCCAGTATGACGTCACATGAAGAGCGGAAGGATGCGGAGGAATGGCTCAGGATGGGTGCGCGTCAGCCGGATATTCCAGTCTGACGTCACATGAAGACGCGGTAGGAACGAGGGGGGTCTGAAACGAGCACAACGGACTCTTGCACAACAGAGCATAATGCCTCCGGCGTCTGTGATTAAGGTAATGTGACGACATTAATACCTATTACGGGAAAAGGGGCGATACATTTCTGCCAAACGCAAATCTTATATTGGAGACCAGAGAAATGTGACAATAAATATGCAATGCAAGCGACAGCACACAAGATATGACATCACAGTTCATCACACAATTATCTTGCATCATTCACGCTCACACAGTATAAGCATGGTACATACATTTTACACACGCTTCCACCCCGGACCGCATCAGAAAAAGCATTATTTTTCACTAAAATGTGTACAGCGCAGGTACCGGACAAGCTGACTTAACACATTTCCTGAAAAGCATGTACTTAAACTACTTGCAATGATCATATTAGCATTAATTGCCTATGGGCGCGATACATGGAATCACCTTTAAGACATAAGCCGGAACAATACGAGGGTAGTGTGGCGCCGACAGCAGGGCCAGACCTCAGCCAGCACACGTCTGTATGGTGGCTGGGCCCCCGGGTCAGGGCCGACGGCGTACCTGGACTGCACTGGTCCGGCCACAGCTGCGTCGGAACAAGGGGGTAGACGGTGTACGGACGGTGTGACCGGGGCCACGTCCCGGAGTGACCTGGTCACACCGCTCAGGGGGGCGCGCTCGTCCTGCTCCCTGGCGGCAGTGGTACGGGCCGGCCCTGTCGCCGCACGGCAGCGATGCGGTCTGGCCGTCACCGCACAGCGGTGCGGTCTGGTCGTCACCGCACGGCAGCGGTGCGGTCTGGCCCTGTCACCGCAGAGCAACAGTGAAGTCCGCCCTGCTTGTTGGGTAGCGACACAGAGCACGACCGACAGACTCTCCATGAAACGGCAGCGGCCGGACCTACTCCCTGTCGGGCGGCGGCGGTGCTGGCACCTGCAGCTGGGGGGCCGGGGCCGCAGACAGGCCAGCAGTCGGTCGCCGGAGCCCGGTGATGAGCAGGGCACCGTACCGGTCACCAGCGTCAGCACAACGGCCGGCACTACTGTCGCCGCGTACAGCTGGCTGGCGTTCAGCAACGTCTGCCCGGCACACAGCAACCGCGCAGCGTCACAGTCCGGCACACAGCGGCCCTACGGCGTCACGGTACAGCACACAGCGGCTCTGCGACGTCACGGTACGGCAACAGCGGCCGTGCGGCAACAGGGCGGCACACGGCAGCCCTATGCGTCACAGCATGGCACACAGCAGCCCTACGGCGTCACAGTACCACAGCGGCCGACGGCGCGACGGTCCGGCACACAGCAGTCGTACGGCGTCACGGCACGACATATAGCAGATGGTGCATGCAATGATGTGAATGAAGGTCAATGTTGATAAAAGCAAAATGCAGAGACTGCAAACCCATACAGCTGGTGGGAACAATTATAAACATATAAAAGGTTGCAACAAACTTCGTCTCAACCATATCAGATGCACCAAGAAACATAGTGTTAGAGAAAAATACCATGCAGGAAAGCCTACTAATGAAAACTGATATCAAACCATGCTCTAACCACCATGACATCAATCTTACCACAATTTCATCAATCTCACCACAATGGCAATAAGTTCCTCTCCTGGGTTGCAGTAAACCCCTAGCACCAGCAAAGCAACATCATGGCCACCACAAAAACTCAATCATCCTGTGCATTACAGGAAACATCTGTTACCATCTCACCAGCGAAGAAAGGGCGAGATGAGAGACGAGCACGAACGCCAGCTGCAGGTACTGGCGACGGTCGAGCGCGCTGAAGGAGATGACGCCCCAGAAGGTGTGGAGCAGGATGAAGCAGAGGGTGAGCACGGCCGAGACGAGGAAAAAGAAGGACGAGTGGCCGCGCAGCCCCATTGTGCCTGGTCCGACAGCGTCCGCCAGCACGTTCACCAGCGAGAAGGCGCCCGACATCATGCCGAATCCAAGCCCACACACTGAAAATGCCAACCGAGGTGGTAAGCACGAAAAAGTGAAGTGGTCCACCATCTAGCAAGAGCTTTGGCCAGACTTGATGAAATCAGCCCACCCACCCTTTACATGGCTGGCCTGAAGATGACCGTCACCGTTTTTCATGTTAAAAGTGGGTGATGAGGAAGTGTACTTAGGCTCTGTGTGTTCTATTCCAAATGCAAGGTCTGTCTGCTAAAATTCCTCAACAACAGTACATATTTCCATCTTAAGGGCCAAATTCACAGGATTATTCAATATGATGGTCTCCCACCACTATCTTGTATCTCTGTTTCATTACATCATATAGCATTGTCCATAAAAAATAAATTTCCCACGTGCCTGCTTGGGAAGCCTCATGCACTCTTCATGACCACCATTCCCAACATCTTAACTCACCATATGCCATGATGTGTGGATTGGTGACCACCTGGTCATTGTCTGTGACTTTCTTCAGACCATTTTCAGCCAAGCGCAGCAACTTGTAGAGCAGAAACCTGCAGATCACAAATGAGATAAATGGATCAATGACAATGACAGCCATTTGAAGCAGTACAACCCACCCACAGTGCGGCTGCCATACACACAGTCACCCGGCATCAAGGAATAGCAACACCCAGCACAATGACCGCGCTTTGACAATGTAAATCAAAATGCAGGCAACAGCATGGACAAGTAATAAAATTATGAGAGTGCTTTAATTCAAACACATTCTTATTGTTCACATACACAAATTAAGTGCACCCAAGGCCTGAACACCTCACATTGTTAAGCACTTCGACTTGCCTGAAGAGCTCCTGCAAGAGAACGGAGAAGACCATGCCAAATGCCAGGTCACTTCTGAGTGGCACAACCGCGAACCAGATGAGTGATGAGAAGAGTAGTGACAGCAGCCAGAAAAAGGCACTGTAAAGACACCAGGTCAACAAAGTTCAGCAGAATCTCATCATGTGCTGGAAATATTGCCATATCAGAACGTCTGTGCACATGGATATTGCATATAAATGGCAGCTCAGTAGCTTGCATTTATGCACTACCAACTGCTTTTGTAGCCACAAGCATGCTCCTGATCCACCTGAAGAACAGAAACATTCCTGCAATAATTAACTTGTAAAACACTGCAGCAGTTGAACAAGGCAGTTCCTGTAATAATTAATTTATAAAACACTGCCACAGTCACACCAGGCAGTCATATGCTGATCTTAATGCTGGGGTGGCACTGCCAGCTAGCTTAGTCTTATACCAACCTGGACATCAGAATGATAATTCTCACAGGATCCTTGGCAATGGTAATGATGAACATAGCCAGAGGTGGTCCAAATGCCAGAAGGCCACATCCAAAGAACTCCATCACAGTCATGACTTCAAATAGGCTTCCTGAAAGAGAAAGACAAGACAATGAGTAAACATTCATGCACTTATGAATAGCTGACATTCCTGTAAGCCTCATATGCATTTGCAGAATGGCAAGTGTCTAGGGAACAGCACATTTAGATGTGACACATCACTGATATTGTGAATAATTATTCACAAAATAAGTTAGGGGGCTGAGTAGTGAAAAAACAATGCAGCCTCCCAACAAAATGTGCCAAAAAACAAATTTCTCCTCAAATTTCACCCTAACTTCTTTTCAAAAATTCAGGGTCCAGAGCTCAACTCATGGGGCTGAAGCACACACCAACTGAATAACCCCCACCCCCTGAAAAGTGAGCCACACCCTGACAAGGGCAGATCCACAACACTTCTCCTTTGAGGGATGAACTGTGACTCAAATGAGTCAAGGTCTAACAAGTCATCTTACTTTTTTACCAGCAATAAGGTTTTCCTTTCTCACCTACAGAAATGGCCTAAAACGTAATTTCCTTCAGTAAAGCTGCTTACATTTACTTTGCTACAAGATATGTATTCTTCCAACTTGGACCAACTAGGGAAACCATATGGTCAAGTTCCCTTGATGGCTCTGTTAGCCCTAGCCTCTCCCCCAAGGTCCAACCCCATTCCCGGGCAAGGAGGGTGAATGATCAGGCCAAGTAAGCCAAGGCATAAGATTTTCAAGCACCACAGATGTGTGTACCTTAAAGTGTTTTACAGAAATGACTCCCCAATTATTAATTAATGACTTCCCTCTTCACTGCAGATTAAATTTCATATTCAGATAGGGGCTCCAGCTAACAAAGTTTGCTAGTTGATCAGATCCATGGGAAGCACACTTGTGTATCTTTAGCCAGGAGAAACTTTTTTCCTTACTCAGAAGCAGAACTGATTTTATAATACTTGAACAGTTTGTTGCACACCTACTCCAGGAGCTTGGCCATTCACCTCTTTGATAGAAGTACCAAAACAGTATTCCAAAAATCATCAAGCAGGTTGCGCAGGATGTAAATGCGAATTCATGGTACACAAATCCAGGCTCTTCAGCATTCCCCCCATGCAGTTGGGCTCTTATCCATTGCCCTTTAACCCTGACCCAGACATCTGACCTACTCTGACATTTGTCAAGTCTGACATCCCTAGACACTGGTTTGACAGCTGCTCAGTTCAATACTGATTGGCTGATTTTGAGCAAGGTGGGGGCCACAGGCAGTGAGCCCGAAGCCAGGGTATTGCAGCATGAACAAAGATAAACATCCCTGCCACCCAACTGGCCAAATATTGGAACACTGTATCCAGGGCATCATTACCTACTTTGTGAATGACTCTCTCAAGCCAAACTTTGAAAAAATCATTACACAATACATGTTGTCTGCATGCCTATCAGCAATATTGTTTTCAACAAATCGTGCTGCTGCAAAGAAAAGTTCGGAAAATCCTACTGAGCACTTTGAGATGCACAATAAATTCAAAAATTCAGCGCAATTTGGCCTGGGCAGAATTCATTGCATGTAAGGGCGAGTTTTGCGGCCTGCGCTATCGACACCACCCAGCGCACCAGCGTTCTGAACGCGTCCGGCGCAGATGATGGATTTATCGCTGCTTGCAGTTCAGGGCCCATCCCAGCATGACAACCATTACGATACAAATCAGGGACATTAACTGATATAATCCACTACGCACCTCACAAGCCGCGCCGAATCCTCACTAGTGCTCCTATTTCACGCGGCTACCGCCCAGACAGCGTCACCGCAGCCGTAGTGCCATGGTATTTCGCTAAATCAGGGCAAGCGCGATAAGGTAGCGTTTGTTTCCAAGTCGCTTGAAACTTTCTTGACGAAATGTCAAAAAACATCCTCGGAATATTAGTACGAAAGCTTCCTAACAGGGAAAGGTGTTTAGTACCGATTCGTACTAAAACCGGCGATGTTAGTACACATATATACTAAACAATACAGCCCGGTAAACCAACGCTGAACAGAGGAAATAAGGCTAATTAGAGGTGAACATCATGACTCTCGTTTCGTCGACGAGAGTGGGGAAACCTTCACCACTTTGGGATCCCAATTCTCCATTAGATTGCGAGTTGCTCCTGGGACGCAGCAGGGTCGGTCGGTCGGTGATCGGTGGGGAGGCATGGGGGAAGCGGTTAAGAAACATGCCTGGAGAAACTCTTGCACGTAGTTTACAGGACAATGTTATCTACAGGCTGAGTATGATATTGATGTATCCTGGACTACAGGGCCTGGGGAAAGATTGACATCCGGCAGTGCGGAGAATAGGATACTAGTCTCGAGATGTAGCGGTTAGCACCAGACTTGGGTTTAAACTCAAATGTCTTGAGTTAGCTTCCGGACTGGCTGACGTATTGTGGAACCTGGTCCAGTTTGTAACTCAGCCCTCCCATTTTCCAGAGTACACTGAAAGTACCCATAAGATTGTTCATGTTCAAACGAGCCAATTCCATTACGCTGCGGGGCCCCCGCTTCACGAAACTAGATCACAGTGCAGTCTGGCACTGGTAATTATCTGGGGACCCGGCCACCCATCTCCAATATCATGATATCAACATGAAGCGCCCCTCTCGTCACAATGGGCCGAGCACATTGCAAGCAATAATGGGCATATTGGAGAGCCGGTTGTAAGCCTTCAGGCTTCGTTACGTATGTATAACACGAAAGAAACGTTTTCCCATAGTGCTACGTGAAAGTTAGTTTTTGACTGCAGCTCGGTCCATAACTGAACTATTTCAAACGTTTTAGAAAATTAGACTCTAGCGTCTCGCATATTTACGTATTAAGAGGAGGAGATCCGTTGACCAATAGCCTTCCCCTGCTAACTTAAATTAATCTTCAACACGCATTACGTATTTTATCTACGTATTAAGAAGAGTAGATCCGTTGACCAGGACCTTCCCCTGCTAACTTAAATTAAGGTCCAACACTACGTTTCAACAGAAGCCTATATACGAATGAACAGAGATAAGATATCATATCGACTTGCTGATTCCGGTCCCCAAAACTTTGTATTCATAATGGATCGAACTAGTACTTTGGTTAATTTCATGACCATAGCTTAACCGGAATTGACATGAAGGGGCATATTAAATTGAGGATGAATGTACCGCATCGACTTTCCGAGCGAGAACAAATTCACCGCCGAGAAGGATAAAATCATCACCTTTGTGGTAACTCTCAAAATCAGATGCGGGCAAAACACAAAATTCGCGTACAATGGTCATCTGAAGCGTTTATTCTGAAAGATTATGATCCCGGTCGTTCCTGGACGTCTAGTCTGGAATGATGTGCCTTGTCTTGCACAATCTACCTCGAAAAAATGATTTGGAAATTAACCTATTGGTTAAGCAACATTCATGGTCCCAAAATTACTCTAAAATGGAATGAGGCGATCAGAGCCATATTTCTGGAAGTTGACTCATCATGTTACGTGCATGACATTGTGTGACAAAAGGTAAAGCACGATAATATACTCACATGCTTTGTTGTGGTAGATTTCACATTCTGACATTAGTCAGAACTGTTGAAGGCATTTTAAGCGTGTTTTATAGGTCCTTTGAATATCGAAAAGCAAATCATCCAACATTTCTAGTCATGCTTCTTACAAAAGATAGCGTTTTGTACTGTCCTTTGATTGAAACCACTTGCGTCATTCCATCTAATAAAAAGCCGAGTTAAGACGTTAATCATACCTTATCACTTGATATCAAAATATACCATGCAACGCGAAAAATGCGTTGATTTCCACTTACCGTCAATGATTTACCAAAAATTTTGACGGACTGCAAGAAGTCGGTTGTGAAAAGTAAGTGGCACGTCGACGGTTTAAGCTAGGTGGGGTTGCATTAGTAGGGTAGCACAAACAGGCCAATTTTTGACGTTCAGGTGCGAAAATGAAAAGCAGCGAGACTTGTGCCACATGGTAAGATTTCAAGAGGAAATTACTCTTTTCGTTTTCTTTTCTATGGTGTTGGAAGCTTTTAAAGTGTTTTTATAATGTTAGAAGTCAAAGTCATCGGCTCATTAGAGAAACACGTGCTCCAAATATTCCACCTGAAGTGTTTAGCATCTAAATAGGTCTACGGAACTCCGACATCACAGTGCTTTTAGCCGTGCATTTGAGGAAAATGAAATGTCACGTGATGTAGAAAGCTACGAACAATATCATACCAGTTGCCATTATATCAAGCGTAAACTTAAGGCAAAACAAGCCAATTACATTTCCGGCGATCTCTGCACCTTCAGTTCGACATTACTATATGATGCGATATAACTTGTTGCTGTGTTTCCTAAGAACATAGACATTGCTCGCATTTATCAGCTACCCATGAACCTCAAGTGATTGTCTCGTTCCAAAACTGAGTTAACCAAGAACAACATTAAAAGAGACTTTACCAAAAAAGGCAAGCAGCTTTAAAAAATTCCTTTGATTGCTACTTGTCGACACGCAGCTAGCACATATTTGGACGGGCTGCTCAGCACTGTTCGTTAATCGTTGTTTCATTCTCACGTATTGATCCATAGGCTGACAAAGTTGGTCGTTGAGAAAAGTTGGAGAGTAAAGTTGAAGTTGTGTAAAAATTGGGAAGTTGTAAAAAATGGTACAGTTATGACTAACTTGAAACAAAAGCATCACGCTTCTGTGTACGTTAGGATAAATCATAGGTAATTATCGTCGTCACTGTTGCTTTACGACTCATTCAGCTGCTGAGACTATATGGGGTCACCGGCCTCTCACCCTGGCAGCAAGGGCGGGCGCCGCGGTGACTCGAACCCCGTACCTCTGGTTTCTCGGACGCGCAGGAACTTACCAGTTGCGCTTACCACTGCACTTTCGGCACTCACAGATAGCGCATATGGGATGAGAAAGCTGCACCGACCTTTCCAGCCATTGTCAAGATCTTGCAATAGCTCTAAAATTCAGCGAGTCGCCACAGAAAAATTGGGTTTCCAAAAGCAAAGCCGGTGTTAAGTCTACGAGACTACAAATGATAAAGTGATTTTTATTAGTGCGTTTCAGCAGCATAGCAGGCATTGGCACTGACGTAAAATACAACCCAATACACGAACCTGGTAACATGATTTACAGAGCTCCGCAACTTTTCTTTAAACAACAGAAAAGTGTGATTAAACTTTTTACCTTTGCCTGATGTCTTTTCTATGAAAGTACGCCACTACTTAACTCCTAATCTCCGGGATTATTATTCCAAGTTCATTTGCAATTAAAGAAGAGTTTACGAATGCCGAACGAAATTAATCAAGCCTTTCAAGCTGAGATGTAGTGGAAACATGCTGAGATGAACTGGCACGAATATGAACACATCAGACGTGTTCATCTTCCCGAACATTTGATAAACATCACATTGGACGTTTAAGGCCGCAAATTCATCAATCTTTAATGAACCGATGCGCAAAAAAAAACGCGTTTGCGCAAAATTTGTTGCGAATCGGTCCACAATTTATAGAAGAAAACGAATGTTAGGTCTTAATTGGTACGATTTGACAGGATCTGACCTATCATCAAAGAAAACTTTAACCCCGAAATCATTCCCACTGCATCCGTCTGGCAGTCATGCTGTTCATGGCGTTTGGCCAACGCACGGGGGCTGAGGCGATCGTTCCAGGCACGGCGGCCCTGTGCAGCTCCCCGCCTTTGCGCAGCGAAGGGCTGGGGAGGCCTGTCGTAACCGAGGAGATCATCCCCCACCCTACCTGATCTGGCGAGGGCGGTCAGATGCTTTAAAACGCCGCTGGCCTAAATTCGACCAGGACTGAGCCTCAAGCCTTAGCATGGGGCACCACGAGAACTTCAATCAGCTAGGATGGTTCCTTAACAGAAGACCATCTATCGCTCCGCTGTGACCGTGGCATCCATCGCTGGTTAACGTGTAAACGCATTATTGCTGGTGACACTATTAGCGCGCATTATTCTGCCCTTCTGCAAAAGAAGGCTGCTGGTACTGCGGTTGTTTCCATGCATCCCTAAAATGGGAGCTTTTACACGACTATCGCTTCTTCGGCAAGCCGGTTTGTTCAGGGTTTTGAGCTGATATGTGTGGAATGTGTTCTGCTAGCAATGCGGCTCCCGGTTAATGGAGCGACTTTGCTTAAAATATGCCCTCGGCAGGTGGACCTAGTTCAAGAGGATCGCTGCCAAAGCCACCGGCGGACAATGCGCGTGTTCACGTTGCTCGCGATTCTTGCATGCATTTCCATCAAATCAAAAGAAGGGCTCCTAATCCTCGCCCTGGTTCGCCGCTTTCCTAACGCGGACTTACGGGCGGAGGATGCGACCTCACTCGCATGTCCTATCAGAATTGGCGAAAAAACACCAGTGGTTTGGTCTTAACAAAATCTCGCGTTTTGGTGATAGTTTTTAAGCTGTTTTTTTATCATTGAGCCCATTATGGCACGTCAAAGGTAGAACTTCCCAGAAAATCGCACCTTTCCATCTTTGCAGCATTATGTATACAATGAGGTTTTTTTGCAGCGCCAAAAGCCTTAACAGACGTGTATCTTGTTCCATTTTGAGTACATTGGTGTATTCGTTATGTGTTTTGAGCATACAGTTACGATATATCGCTATGTCAATGGGACACTGTCGTTCCGCCGCGTGCGTTCCACGGCATCATCGGTTGTTGACCGTCATACGCGTCGGCCGTATATCGCCGTGCAGTAAAACTTGGTATCGTCGTGAGCCGGCGCGTGACATCACAGGTTACGTGACTTTGTGGTCACGTGACGTGACGTTGGGAGAGTGCT